AGTCACGGAAGGGAATTCGCAAAAAACTCGGCCCTTAGCACAGCGTAACGCTCCCCGAGCTCAGGTTATGCTTTGCTTTTTTTTTTTTAATTGTTCCTCACTCTGCTGTCTGTTAAGATGACCCTGAAAACATGAAACACATGTAACATTATCTTTCCAGCTTGGCTTTGAGAGGTGAAGCTACCTCATTCTTCTCAATGGGAAGCTAGCCTCAAACATGAAGATCATAGTTTAAAGTCAACATAATCTATTCTGCTTCTTATCCGTTTTGCTGAAATACCAGCTAACGTATTTCTTTCGTAGCCCCAAGCCACTTTCCGCATGTCACCGTGCAGGAGCTTTCAGAAACGCAGCTGCCAGAACCTCACAGTCCTTCCCTGGCAGTTTCTGGGATGAGGACATCATTAAACGTATTTACTTGAATATGAAAATTAGCATAGGGTTACCATAGGGATGGAATTACTCATTTTTCTAATTAAGCCATTAAAAGTTTTTTCTTTTACCACATAAACAAAGCTAATCTGGAATTTGGAGACTGCTGGAAAACAGAGCTCCAGGTGGCTCCTGTCTGCCCAATTATCCATTTTCCTCCTAATATAACAGTGCATGTGACTTGTGTGTCTGGGTTGCAAATGAAGTTCTGAATGTTTCTGTTTCTTTATCCAAGGCAGAAGCTCGTGGATTTCACTTTTTCTATCCAGTTACCATTTTTATCAAGAAGGGAGTAAAAAATTTGACTACCTTTCTCTGTTTTATGAAAGTGCAGTGCTTTAGGGACCAGTGAGCCCTGCAGAGATGCAGTTTATATAATAATCCTTTGAAACACTATAGTTAGGCCTAATTCACCCCTTAAAATAGCCTGTAAAGCTAGTGTCAATACTTATAGAAGCAAAATGTGCTTTTGCTGGTGTAGCTCATATTAACTAGGTCAGGCAATGAAATCAGCTATCAAGGCAAAATCATTTTGATGTTGGAATAGCTGTGTCTAGATGAGGCTTTTTGTCAGGATAGAAAAATTGTTTCTATCCCTCTGTCAGGGAAAAAATTGCCAGCGGAGAACTGATCTTAAAAAAACAGGGTCTGGCTGAGCGCTCGAGCGGCCGCAAGCCACAGGTGGAGCCTGGTGTTTCCGTCTTCCCTAGGAGTTGTATCTGATA